ACTTTTCCCTTCCCTCACTCTTTCATTATTCCCCTTCCTTTCTTCCCCTCTTTCACCCCTTCTTCCTATACCTGGTTGATTTCCCCATCCCTACCCTTCTTTTTATTCTTCTCTCTCTTCTTCCCCATCTTCGCTCGATTTCTCTCTTCTTCCCTTCCGTCTTCCTTTCTTTCCTCTCTTCGTCTATACCTTTTTCCTTATTTCGAACGTCCTTTATCCCATCTTCTCCTTTTTCTTTTTCCTCCTTTCTCTTTCTCTCTTTTCTCTTTCTCCCTTTACCCCTCACCCCCTTTCCTTCTCCACCCTTCCCCTTTCCTCCCTCCTTCCTCCCTCCCTCCCTTTCCCTCTTCCCCCTTCTCCCTTCCCCCCTTGCCCCTTCTCCTTTCCCCCCTCCTACCCTCCCTCCTCCCCCTCCTTCACCCCCCCTTCCAACCCTCCCTCACCCTCTCCCCCCTACTCCCCCCCCCCCATCTGACCTCGAACAGCAAGAGGAAGCGCCGTGACCCCGCCGTGACCCCGCGTGGCCAGGCCCGTGACCGCGACCGCCTCTACCAGTGCTGGGAGTGCGGGGGGAGCTTCACCACCTCGGGCCATCTCAAAAGACACATGGTCAGTGGTGTTGTGGTGGTTGCGTGTGGTAAGAGTGGTTGTGGTAGGGTCATCTCAAAAGACACATGGTCAGTGGTTGTGTGTGGTATGGTGGTGTTTGTGGTTGTGTGGTGGTTGTGGTTGTGTGGTGGTTGTGGTTGTTGTGGTGAGTGTGGTTGTTGTGGTAGGGCCATCTCAAAAGACGCATGGTCAGTGGTTGTGTGGTGGTTGTGGTGGTTGCGTGTGGTAAGAGTGGTTGTTGTGGTAAGAGTGGTTGTTGTAGTGAGTGTGGTATGGTGGTTGCGTGTGGTATAGTGGTGGTGGTGACTGCGGTGGTTGTGGTTGGGTGCCTTCTCAAAAGACGCATGGTCAGTGGTTGTGTGGTGGTTGTGGTGGTTGCGTGTGGTAAGAGTGGTTGTTGTAGTGAGTGTGGTATGGTGGTTGCGTGTGGTATAGTGGTGGTGGTGACTGCGGTGGTTGTGGTAGGGCCATCTCAAAAGACGTATGGTCAGTGGTTGTGTGTGGTATTATGGTGTCTTTTGTGGTTGTGTGGTGTTTGTGGTGAGCGTGGTGGTTGTGGTGAGTGTGGTGTGGTGGTGGTGACTGCGGTGGTTGTGGTTGGGTGCCATCTCAAAAGACACATGGTCAGTGGTTTTGTATGGTGGTTGTGGTGAGTGTGATATGGTGGTGGTGACTGCGCGGTGGTTGTGGGTGCCTTCTCAAAAGACACATGGTTAGTGGTTGTGTGTGGTATGGTGGTGGTTGTGGTTGTTGTGGTGAATGTGGTATGGTGGTGGTGACTGCGTTGGTTGTGGTAGTGCTAATGCTAGGAGTTATGGTAGTTACATTGCTAGTGATAGTGCTGGTAATAATGCTAGTAGAAGTGGTGATAATCTCAGTATTAGTGGTAGTAATAGTACTAGTAGGCGTGATTGTAATAACACTAGAAGAAGTGGTTATAATGCTTGTAGTATTGGTGATAATGCTAGTAGTGTTGATAATGATGCTAGTAGGAGTGCTAGTATTAAAGATAGTAGTAATGGTAATAACAATACTTGTAAGAATGCTAGTAGTGTTGATAATGATGCTAGTAGGAGTGCTAGTATTAAAGATAGTTGTAGTGGTAATAACAATACTTGTAATAGTGGTAGTAGTGGTAATAATACTAGTAGGAGTGATAGTATTAATGCTAGTAGTTCAGGTAATGGTTGTAGTAGCAAGTAGCACACGAAAGCAGTATATTGAGTGAATGTAGCGAGGGGTATGATGTAAAATGTATGTTCCAAGTTCAGTAATTAATGACGGCCATAAGAGCGTTGATTATAATTCTCCTCCTCTATCTCTTCCTCTTTCGTCTTTTCGTCTCTTCCCTTCTTTCTTCTCTTGCATCGTTCCTCTTTTCCCTCGCTTTTTTTCTCTTACCTCTTCCCCTCTCACGCTCTTTTCTCGTGCCTCTCCTCCCCCTCTTCCCATTCTCTTCGTGTCCCCCTCTTTCTCTCTTCCCCTCTCCAACTCTTCCGCCTCCCCTTTTTCCTCTTCCCTCTCCCCCTCCCTCTCTTCCCTTCTTCCCTCTCCCCCTCCCTCTCTTCCCTTCTTCCCTCTCCCCCTCCCTCTCTTCCCTTCTTCCCTCTCCCCCTCCCTCTCTTCCCCCTCCCCCTCCCCCTCCCCCTCCCTCTCTTCCCTCTTCCCTCTTTTACCCTCTTCCCTCTCTTCCCCCTCTCACTCTTCCCTCTCCCCTCTTTTACCCTCCAGCCCCTCGTCCCTTCCCCCTTTCTCATCCCCTCTCTCACCCCCCTCCCCTTCCTCTCTCCCCCCAGGAGGCCCACGGGGCGGACCGGCGCCACAAGTGCGACCAGTGCTCCGCCTCATACTCCAGGCAGGACAACCTCCTGAAGCATCTCGAGGTTCATAGTAACGGGGGCGTCCTCATCTCCAGGTAGTTTGGCAATTTTGTCGTGGGCGAGGCGTGGGCGTGTCTCGCTCGCTCACTCGCTCACTCACTCACTCACTCACTCACTCACTCACTCACTCACTTACTCACACTCACTCACTCACACGCTCACTTACTCACTCACACGCTCACGTACACACACACTCGCTCACTCACTCACACACTCGCTCACTCACTCACACACTCGCTCACTCACTCACACTCGCTCACTCACACATTCACTCACTCACTCATTCACACGCTCACTCACTCAATCACTCGTATACTGAGTCGCACGTGCGCTTTAATCATTCAGGCGACTAGCTCATTCACTCATTCATTCACTCACTCACTCACGCTCATTCACACCATTAGCTCACTCGCTTACAGACACTCTTACTAGCAGGCCCAAGCATCGCATTCTAAAAACTCTTACTCGTAGACACATACTCATGAAAACTCTTACTCGTGGACACTTACTCATAAACACTCTTACTCGTACACACTCTTGTAAAAACTCTTACTCATAGACACTCATAAAAACTCACTCGTAAAACTTACTCTTAGTCGTAGACACTCTCACTCATAAAAACTCTTACTCGTAGACACTCTTACACTTACTCATAAAAACTCTTACTCGTAGACACTCTTACACTTACTCATAAAAACTCTTACTCGTAGACACTCTTACTCATAAAAACTTACTCGTAGAGACTCTCACTCATAAAAACTCTTACTCGTAGACACTCACTCATAAAAACTCTTACTCGTAGACACTCTTACTCATAAAAACTCTTACTCGTAGACACTCACTCATAAAAACTCTTACTCGTAGACACTCTCACTCATAAAAACTCTTACTCGTAGACACTCACTCATAAAAACTCTTACTCGTAGACACTCTTACTCATAATAGCTCTTGTAGACACACTCATAAAAACTCTTACTCGTAGAGACTCTCACTCATAAAAACTCTTACTCGTAGACACTCTTACTCATAAAAACTCTTACTCATAGAGACTCTCACTCATAAAAACTCTTACTCGTAGACACTCTTACTCATAATAGCTCTTGTAGACACACTCATAAAAACTCTTACTCGTAGACACTTTTACTCATAAAAAATTACTCGTAGACACCCTTACTCATAAAAACTCTTACTCGACACTCTTACACACTAGCATCTTACTCATAAGGACTCTTACTCGTAGATACTCATACTGGCATATTAATCATTAGCACTCTTATTCCCAGACACTCATACTCACAGACATCTTACTCGTAAACACTTTTACTCATAAACACTCTTACACATAAAAGCTCTTACTCGTACACACGTACTCATGAAAACTCTTACTCGCAGACACTTACTCATGAAAACTCTTACTCGTAGACACTTACTCATGAAAACTCTTACTCGTAGACACTTACTCATGAAAACTCTTACTCGCAGACACTTACTCATGAAAACTCTTACTCGTAGACACTTACTCATGAAAACTCTTACTCGTAGATACTCATACTGGCATATTAATCATTAACACTCTTATTCTCAGATACTCATACTCACAGGCATCTTACTCGTAAGCACTTTTACTCATAAACACTCTTACTCACAAAAACACTAATTCATAAGGACTCTTACTCATAAAAACCGTTACTCATATACACCCTTACTCACAAAACACTCATAAACACACTTACTCAAGCAACGTATTTTAACGACCAACACAACGTATTTTTTTACGGTTTTAATTTTTTTTATGCGGATTCGATCTGTTTTAAAATTTTATAATTTTATTAATGGATTGGTTAGGATGTTTTATGAGTTTGTTTGTTTGTTTTTGGTTGGATGGGAAATGTGTTTTATTTTTTAGATTTTCAAAATTATTATTTGTGTAAACTTCAGTCCTGTCAATCAAATTTATTGTGATTATAGAATTACTCTCTTGAATATATTATGTTAAATTCATTATTTTATGCTGAGATTATATTGATAATTTTTAAACTAGATGTGAAATTAAACCCGATAATGTACAATCATGTATATTTATTTTTAAGAATATTTTTTTATATGATATTAATAAAATGAATAGTATGATTATGGTATTTATTTAGCCTTCTAGAATGTATTATTTATTTTTATATGGAAATTAAAGAAAATGGAGGAAATAAATGAAAAAAGTTATGTAAGGAAGATTGAATTGTATAGGCAAAAAACAAAAGTTATTAAGTATAAGTAATAAATAATATAAGTTATTTGGGAGAAATAAAAAGATATATAAATAAAATGACAAAACCATTATTTGGTAGAAAGAAAAATATATAGAGATAAGATATGCAACAAAAGATTAAAAATGTAAAAAAAAATTTCCACTTCGAAGATAGAATAACGGATAAATAAAAATATTTAAAAAGTAAATAAATAAATAAAATCTTGTACAAAAAATGGGGGCGTCGCGGGGCAGGGGGGAGGAAGAGGAAGGTGAGATGAAGGACGAATGATGTAGGGGGAAATAAAAAAGAGAGAGAGAGAGAAAGAATAAAAAAAAATGTCAAAAAATAGCAGCAAGAAAAGCAGATGGACGTGAGCAGAGGTTCAGAGAACTTGCCGGTCTTAAGTATTTTCTCAAACGTCACGATTTTGTTACTTCCGACTTCAGCTTTTTGTTTCTGGTCTTGTTTTTTTTAAGTCTACGTCTGCTATGTCCTATAGAAACTACCTGTTTTTTTATGAACATCTATTAAAAAATAAAAAGCTAAAAAAGTCGAAACAAAAGGAAGAACGAAATGCGCGCGCACGTCATTGTACCCACGAACGTATTTTTTTTTATCATTTTTCTCTCTCTCTCTCTTTTTTTTTTTCTTTTTTTTTTTTACTTGTCTCTCCGTGTATTTACCTGTTTATTTTCTTGCTCATTTGTCTATCATCACATCCAACATCAGGCATTAAGTAATCGATCTCACTTGACATAGGAATGTGGAAAAAACATCGTCCATATACGATAAGATTAAGATTATAATCAATGAAATTATCAAAAGTACTTATCCCGTCCTTACGACACGCATATCAAAATGAATGACAAAAACACAATTATCAACGACATAACCCTGAAGATTTAAGTATCGTCTGGAAAACACCACCTACACAACCCGGATCTAACGCCCTCGGTCTTCTCCGCAGTCCATACAGTAGATACGGCTTGCATAAGAGTTGTGAAGGATTCTGAACGCTTTTAACTCTCTCTCTCTCTCTCTCTCTCTCTCTCTCTCAAATCTCTCTCTCTTTCTCTCTCTCAACTCTCTCTCTCTCTCTCTCTCTCTCTCTCTCTCTCTCTCTCTCTCTCTCTCTCTCTCTCTCTCTCTCTCCCCCTCTCCCTCCCTCCCTCCCTCCGACACGGCTATCAAAACGCGTAACAAAATGAACCACAATCAACGACATAACCCTGAAAAAAACACACACACACCACCTACATAACACGGATCTAACGCCCCCTCTCTTCTCCGCAACCCATACCATACATACGGCTTGCATAAGAGTGAACAGGATTCTGTATGCTCTGAACACGCTCTCTGAAATTCTGAATACAGCATACGGGAACTTCTTTACCCATGTATTGGCATGCCTGCTGGATATGCTCTGAACACGCTCTCTGAAATTCTGAATACAGCATACGGGAACTTCTTTACCCATGTATTGGCATGCCTGCTGGATAATATATGAGCGAAGATGAAGGGAATATAAGAAAGGGAGATGAGAAGAGAAGATAAAGGCGAAAGAAGAGAGGGAGAGAGTGGAAGATAGAGAGAGAATGAGAAGAATGAGTGATTGAGAGACTGAGGTAGAGAGGAAGGGAAAAAGGGAAAGAGAAAGAGAGAAGAGGGGAGGAAGGGGGGTGGATAAAAGGAAGAAGAGAAAAAAAGAAAGAAGAGTGAAGAAGAGGAGAAGGAAGAGAGAAATATACAGAGAGACCACGCTAAAGAGAAACAATTTAGCTTCCCACAGGTTCCGTAAAGGTCAGTCCCAAGGCCAAAAGCTTAGGACACTCGACCGTACGTAATGAAATAGTTGCTTAAGCGCTGAAAATCCCTTTCTCTAGGGTCAGAGGCAACGGAAAATATCTATCTATCTGTCTGTCTGTCTGCCCCCCCCCCCTCTCTGACTCTCTCTCTGTTTCTGTCTCTCATTATCTCTCCCTCTCCTATCTCTCTCTCTCTCTCCCTCTCTCTCCCTCTCCCTTTCTTTCTCTTCTCTCCCTCTCCCCCTCTCTCTCCCCCCCCTCTCTCTCCCCTTCTCTCCCTCTCTCCCTCTCTCCCTCTCCCTCTCCCTCTCCCTCTCCCTCTCCCTCTCCCTCTCCCTCTCCCTCTCCCTCTCCCTCTCCCTCTCCCTCTCCCTCTCCCTCTCCCTCTCCCTCTCCCTCTCCCTCTCCCTCCCCTTCTATCTTATCCCAATATCTCTCTCTCTCTATTTCTCCTTCTCCTTCTCTTTCCGTCTCTCCGTTCCTCCCTCTCTCGCTCGCACACGATAAACCGCAATCACTATAATTATCATCGTAATCATAAAAAAATCATATATAAATCACAATCATAACCACATATAAATCATACTTATACTTATAATAATCAAATCTCACACTTATAAATGCTAGAAAATAAGTGAGTGGTGATGAATCTCATATCGTGAATAATCTCATTGTGTGTAATATATTCTACGTAAGGTTTTCAGATTTGCGGAATATGAAAGAATAGAAGAATGGTCATTAGAATCAAGAATTAAAGAATTAGGTAATAAGTGCGGGTGAATATTTAAAAAGAAAATTGAAAAAGAAAATTTATAAAGAAAATTTTGTTTATTGTGACAAATGTCATTACAGAATTCATGTCCATTAGTCTACTTACATAATTAGGTGATTTTTTTTCACTCCTCACTCACTCACATCACTCACTCACTTATTCATTCAGTCGATCACTCACTCACTTAT